CCATCCTTTGCCCACTCAGACATTCTTCCTGCCCACCTGCTGCTGAGAATCCTGCATGTCTCATATGCTCTCAGGCAGAGAGGAAACTGCTGAGCCGGCCAGGGCAGGGGACGGAGCCCTGTGACTCTCCACTTTAGACCCCTCCCAGCTGACTGCTGTGGAATGCAGCCACTTAGCAGAGCCAAATCCCCTGAGGTTCCTGTCTGCTGTCTAGCCTTCAGGGACGGGTCATGGGGCCTTGGTTCCTGCCCTGTCATCTTCCCAGTCACCCTGATCTTCAGGGGGAGGAACAGCCAGGGAAAGGGTTTGGTCATGGTACCTCCACCCTAGGGCTATTGAGGATCTCACAGTTGTGTGTCTGGTGGGTTCTGTCCAGAGCCCATTTGAGAGCAGTGGGTGACAGGACAGGCCTATGTGACCCAGGCAGGCAGCAATATTGGGTCAGCCTTCGTGTCCCCTTCTGTCAGCTGGGGCAGCCTGGAAGGATGATTGTGGGGTAGGTGTTATGGGAATAGACCTCAGGTGGAGGCTGCAGGGGCTCTCTGGCACTGTAGGCACAGCAGGCCCAGGAGCAGGGGAGGGAGCCATGACTCGTGGAGCCTCTGGCCCATATCCTTGGCAGATGAGGGCCACAGGGGAATGGGCAGCAGTGTCTAAGGTCCCCTGGGCTGGGCCCATGGCTGTTCCTGGCTCAGAGTTCTTGGTGGGCTGGTCAGGAACATGCAGTAGCTTGGGGCAGTTACCAAGTGGCCAAAGCTGCGCTGTTGGGCTGTGTGAGCTTGGGCCAGGTCAGGCCCTCTCTGGGCCCTGCCTTTCTGGGCTGTTCAGGTGGTTCCTTGGGCCTGGAGTGCTAATGTTTCTGGATGGGCAGCAGAACCGGTCTGCACTCAGGGCCCCAGGCCATGTTCCCGGAACACGCTTTTGGTATTGACATCAGGGTGTGGTGAGGTCCCTTAGGCTGGGTTCTGGTCTGGTGCCAGGGGCACCACTACTCCACTGCCTCCAGAGCCATCTCTGGGACACTGGCTGTGAGTTCAGATGTTCTGAACAGGGACAGGGAAAGCCAGAGGAGGACCCAGCCTGGGGCTAGCTGGAGGGGCTCGTGGGGAGACAGCGCCCTTTGGAGGGAACTGAGTCTGGAAGGAAACCCTTTCCCCGGGTCACAGCACCTGGCACCCACGGCCCTCCCAGGGCTGCGTGAACTTTAGTCACATGGTGACAGGCCGAGTCACCGTGCCAAGTCACTGTGCGCCTCCTTGCTGCTGTGACGTCAGCTTCCCCATCCTCCCAGCCAGGCTGGACCTCTGTGAGAGGCCTGCCTGTCCTGCACCCTGTGCAGATGCCTCCCACTGTCTGCTGGGGCTGATGGGCACCTCCTGGCTGGTCTCTTGTACTAGGTAAGGTCATGGGTCCTCCGGCTGCTCCTGCTCCTTCCCTGCCTCTGCTCCTCCTCGGAGGTGGCCACCCCCAGATCCCAGTCCCAATTCAGAGGCCCCCTGAGGAGCACTGCAGGGGGCCGCAGGCGTGGCTCTGAGCCGCTCTAGAGAGTGAGGGAGCCCAGCCAGTTCTGTGGCCGGGACTTTCCCAGGCAGACAAGTCTGTCTCTTCCTCCCCAGCGGGTGCAGCCCAGAACTGTCTTCTGAGGAAGAGGTGCTCTCCTGGGCCCCCACTGTCCCCAAGCCTCAGGTAAGCCCATCAGGGTCACAAGGAAGGGGATCTGGGTTTGAGGCCAACCATGGCAACTGACTTACTTTCTAGCCTCAGTTTCCCCTAGGGTGTGCAGCTCTCACACTGTTTGGGTGACAGCCAGCCCTCTGGGCTTGGACATTCTTTCAGTGAGTCTTGAGGGTGGAGGGATGGGAAATGGAAGCCCAGGGCCTCAGCAGGGTGTCTTCCTCCGAGCTGGGGACATCTGCCTGTGGGAGGCTGGGCCCAACCTCCCTTGCTAACCTGCCCTGGGAGGAAGTGACAGGGCCCAGCACTGCCTACTCCCCTCCCCATGCTTTCTGGCAGTCTGAGCCTGGCTGGGTGTCCCCTGCTCCTCCAGGAGCCCACTTGGGCCTTTGGGTAGACAGATTAACAGACAGGGGAGGCTGGGTCATGGTTGGGCCACCCCAGGACCCTGATGGAGGGGCTCAGCTCATGACCCTGAGCCTGGGAGAGATGAGGCCATGCCTTTCAGGGCACTCAGCATGACCCGGCCCAGTGGACGGGACTGGGTAGCTTCCTTGGTGCAGGGGGTTGTCATGCAAGGATGGGGGCACCGACCAGGCCAGGCCCCCCACCCATGACATGTGGTGGAAATGTCCGTTTGTTTTGTTTTGTTTTTTGCTTTTTATTTTTTGAGATGGAGTTTCACTGTTGTTGCCCAGGCTGGAGTGCAGTGGTGCAATCTTGCCTCACTACAACTTCTGCCCCCCAGGTTCAAGCAATTCTCCTGCCTCAGCTCCCGAATAGCTGGTATTACAGGCACCTGCCACCATACCCAGCTAATTTTTTGTATTTTTAGTGGAGACGGAGGTTTCACCATGTTGGCCAGGCTGGTCTCAAACTCTTCACCTCAGGTGATCCACCTGCTTCTGCCTCCCAAAGTGCTGGAATTATAGGCACGAGCCCCTGCATCTGGCCATGTGATAGGAATGTTCTGTGTCTATAATGGATACTGCACTTTGCTGGTCCAGCTCCTGAGTCTCCTTGGATCTCTAGGAATCGGTGTTTCTATCAGGAACCCTTAACCCTGTCCCAGACTCCCTGCTGGGACCCAGGGTGTTGGAGTGGCAAGAGGGCTGTCAGGCCTGGTGAAGGGTGTGAGCTGTCCCATAGGGCAGGGAGGAGGCAGGACCTGTTCTGTAGCTGGACAGACAGAGCCCTCTAGCTGCTTTCTGGAAGACTGAAGGGCAGGTGATGTTAGAGGGAGGGAGTGCAGGCAGGGGCTCTGAGGGAGCTCAGGTCAGAAACAAGCGGCACCTGGATTCAGGCTGTGGTGGTCACGGTGGGGATGAGGGGCTGCTTCGGATTCTGCTGGGGATGTGGGGTGGTGCGCTGCTGCTTGACTACTCCCAGTCCCCTCTGCTCTTGGTGTCTGCATCCAGGGCTGGGAGGCGGTCAAATGTTTCACACTATTGGCCCCAGGCCTACCAAGCCTGGGGAGGTGGCCAACCTTCCACGATGGCATTTGATGTTCCCTGTATGTGGGGAGGGCACAGGGGCTCCATTCCTAGACCACCTCTGGGACAGTGTGTCTGGCTCTGAGGTCAGATGCTCTGCCCTGGGACAGGGTGGAGTGGAGGGGAACCCAGCTTGGGGCTCATTGGAGGGGCTTGCTGGCAGACACTGCACTTTGTGGGAAACTGAGTGTGGGAGGGGGAACCCCCTACCTCTGTCACCACATCCCTCTTCGCTGTTGGGGTCATACCTGTCACCTACTGCCATAGCCATGAGACTTCCCAAGGGTCACTGCTGCACCTCACTGCACAGCCCGGAAGGGAGTCCACAGGGGACATACAGTGAGCAAGAGACCTGTGCCACTCAGGCCTCCTGGGGGTGTCCCCAATGCAGCCATGATAATAATCACAGCCACCATTCACCAAGCCCTTCCCACAGTCTAACCTACTCTATTCACAACACTCTCAGCAGCAAGGCAAGTGAGGTGCTGCCGTCATCCAGACTGGACGGTTCACTGATTTGCCTGAGGCCCCACGGCAGGTGAGTGGCAAGTCCAGCCTCACAGCAGGGCAGGCTAGCTATGCTCCCTGAGCCCCCTTTGCCATGCTTACCACATGCACATCCTGGGCTTGTGCAGGAATGCCCTGTCTCCTCCGTGCCCTGCTCTGTGCAAAACCCTCTTTGAGCTGTGCCTGGGAGATATGCTGAGAGAATTCATGGAAACAAATGTGTTACTGACAGCCTCTTTGCCTCCAGAGTTCAACTGGAGACCAGAGAAATCAGCTAGAGGCAGAGGGAGGTCACACGGAGTCCCCCAGAAAGGACTGGGCTACGCGCGCTTCAGGTAACCTTCTTGACCTTTAGGAGAATGAGAAGGCTGCCTGACCAGACAGTCTCTGAAGAAGATTCTGTGGGTACATGCTCCTGCAGAGTGTGAGGGAGACCCTGGTTATTTCCTCAGCTGTTTCCACCAAATCCTCCCATCTTTCGTGGCCAACACCCCAGGCAAGGCTTGGTGCCCCCGTCTGCTGCTGGACAGTAAGTCCTGGCTCCGTGGCAGTGAATCTGTGGGGTACTCTGATTGTGGGCACTATGGAAGCTAAACCCCATGCTCCAGGTGGGGTGGAGGGTCCTCAGGGGACTCCTGGACAGTGCCAGACTCTGGGCTGAGGTGGGGGACACAAGAGAAACCAGGCCAGGCCCGTCCCTACCAGAGCTTCTCCCTAAGCAGTGGAGGCTCAGCCACTGTGAGAAGGTAGGCAAGGCCCTGCAGAAAGAGGGGTGTGGAAATATGGGGGCTCCCAGGAAGGACCCCTGCTGGAGATGGGGTTCTTACCAGGATGGACTCTGAAGATAAGCAGGGAGGATTTGGGAGAGCAGAGATGAGGCCCAGAGCTTCTGACAGAGGGCATGGCCTGGGCAAAGGTCTAGGGGCCGGACAGCCTGCACGAGTTCTGGGAAGTGGGAAGGAGACACTGGGCCTGTGTTTCTGAGGCCTGACTTTCGACTGTGCCCTGTTGGGGAGGGACCAGGGAATGTCTGAGGCTGGACCTGACCCTGCTTCTTACCCTGTGGGTGCAGCAGAGCCATGAAGAAGAGGTTAGTGGTGCTGGGCCTGCTGGCCGTGGTCCTGGTGCTGGTCATTGTTGGCCTCTGTGTCTGGCTGCCCTCGGCCTCCAAGGAACCTGACAACCATGTGTACACTAGGGCTGCCGTGGCTGCAGATGCCAAGCAGTGCTCGGAGATTGGGAGGTGAGTGGGGCAGGGCATGGGGCCATGGGCCATGAAAACTGGGCAAGTGGGCCGGGCGCGGTGGCTCAAGCCTGTAATCCCAGCACTTTGGGAGGCCGAGGCGGGTGGATCACGAGGTCAGGAGATCGAGACTATCCTGGCTAACACGGTGAAACCCTGTCTCTACTAAAAATACAAAAAATTAGCTGGGCGTGGTAGCGGGCGCCTGTAGTCCCAGCTACTTGGGAGGCTGAGGCGGGAGAATGGCGTGAACCCAGGGGACGGAGCTTGCAGTGAGCCGAGATCACGCCACTGCACTCCAGCCTGGGAGACACAGCGAGACTCCGTCTCAAAAAAAAAAAAAAAAAAAAAAAGAAAACTGGGCAAGTGGACCTGAGCAATACCTTCACCCCTCTGAGACTTAGTTTCCCCACATGTAAGCTTTGCTTGGACTCTCTCAGTAGCCTCTGGGAAGGGGACGGTGACTCCGAGAGCAGGGTTTGGGTGTCCTAGAGCCAAACAGCGCCCCTTTTCTCAGTTCTAAGAGTCTCTTTCTCTTTGGATAAACTCCACTGTTTTATTGTTTGGTTGTATTTTTACTTATTTCTTCATATATCGATTTATTTAGAGATGGAGTCTCGCTCTGTCACCAGGCTGGAGTGCAGTGGTGCAATCTCAGTTAACTGCAACCTCTGCCTCCCAAGTTCAAGTGATTCTCATGTCTAAGCCTCCCAAGTAGCTGGGATTACAGGCATGTGCCACCACACCTAGCTAATTTGTGTGTGTGTGTGTGTGTGTGTGTGTGTGTGTGTGTGTGTGTTTCTTTTTCTGAGACAGAGTCTCACTCTGTCACCCAGGCTGGAGGGCAGTGGTGCGATCTCGGCTTACTGCAACCTCCACGTCCCGGGTTCAAGTGATTCTCCTGCCTCAGCCTCCACAGTAGCTGGGACTACAGGCTTGTGCCACCATGCCCGGCTAATTTTTGTATTTTTAGGAGAGACAGGATTTCACTATGTTGGCCAGGCTGGTCTTGAACTCCTGACCTCATGATCCACCTGCCTCTGCCTCTCAAAGTGCTGGGATTACAGGCATGAGCCACCACACCTGGCTTAATTATGGTGTTTTTAGTAGAGGCAGGGTTTCACCATGTTGGTCAGGCTGGTCTCGAACTCCTGACCTCAGGTGATCCACCCACTTGGGCCTCCCAAAGTGTTGGGATTACAGGTGTGAGCCACCACACCTGGCTTATTTTTTTTTTAAGGTGGAGTCTTACTCTGTCACCCAGGCTGGAGTGTAGGGGAGCGATCATTGCCCACTGCAGTTCAAACTCTTGGGTTTAAGTGATCCCCCTGCCTCAGATTCCTAAAGTACTGGGATTATAGCTGTGAGCCATGGTGCCTGGCCTCTACTGTTTTATTCTATTTTAGACTCCTATCTCATGTTATATACAAAGACTTAAACAGAAAATACCTTATGTTTTTGATATTTTGAGATAGGGTCTTGTTCTGTCACCCAGACTGGAGTGCAGCGGCATGATCATAGCTCACTGCAGCCTTGAGCTCTTGGGCTTAAGCCATCTTTCCACCTCAGCCTCCTGAGTCACTAGGACTACAGGTGTGCATCATACTTGACTAATTAAAAAAGACTGTTTTGTAGAGATGAGGTCTAACTATATTGCCCAGGCTGGTCTTGAACTCCTGGCCTCAAGTGATCCTCCACCTTGGCCTCCCAAAGTGTTGAGATTATAGGTGTAAGCCACCATCTCTAGCCGGGGGAAAAAAAAAAAGTTATTAATAAAATATAGCAATTTCCCTTTTTGTACCAATTATAAAAGTCATGTACATTTGTTTGCTTGAAAAAGAGGAAACTATCTGGGCGAGGTGGTTCACACCTGTAATCCCAGCATTTTGGGAGGCTGAGGCGGGCAGACCACCCAAAGTCACGAGTTCGAGACCAGCCTGGCCAACATGGTGAAACTCCGTCCCTATTAAAATTACAAAATAGTTAGCTGGGCGTGGTAGAATGCACCTGTAATCCCAGCTATGCAGGAGGCTGAGGCAGGAGAATTGCTTGAACCCAGGAGGCGGAGGTTGCAGTGAGCTAAGATCACGCCACTGCACTCCAGCCTGGGTGACTGAGTGAAACTCTATCTTAGAAAAAAAGAAAAAAGAAAAAGAGGAAACTGTAATCCCAGCACTTCGGGAGGTTGAGGCGATAGGATTGCTTTAGACCATGAGTTCAAGACCAGCCTGGGCAACATAGAAAGACCCTATCTCTACAAAAAGACAAAAAGTTGCCAGCCATGGTGGTTCTTACCTGTAGTCCCAGGTACTCAGGAGACTGAAGTGGGAGGATTACTTGAGCCCAGGAGGTCAAGGCTGCACTGAGTCATGACGATGCCACTGCACTTCATCCTGGGTTACAAAGTGAGACTCTGTCTTATAAAACAAAGGCCAGGCACAGTGGCTCACACCTGTAATACCAGCACTTTGGGAGGCCAAGGCGGGTGGATTACTTGAACCCAGGAGTTCTTGACCAGCCTGGGCAACATGGCAAAATCCGATCTTTACAAAACATACAAACAAACAAAATTGGCTGGGCATGGTGGCATGTGCCTATAGTCCCAGCTACTTGGGAGGCTGAGGTGGGAGGGTTAATTGAGCCCAGGAGATTGAGGCTGCAGTGATCTGAGATCACACCACTGCACTCCAGCCTGAGCAACAAAGAGAGACTTTGTCTCAAAAAAAAAAAAAAAAA